CTTTGGTAATTTTCTTTTTTTTTTTATTCTTAGATTTGCACTTCTCTCACAATGACACCCTTAAGATAGCCTTGTTGAAACTCTAGTTGTTTCCATTTATTACTGTGAAGAGAAGTGGCTAACTTGAGTTTTGTCTTCTTGGATTTCAAGCCATGGAGAAATTATCTTCCAGAAGTTTCAAGGCATGCAGTTTCTATGTATGAATTATTATTCAGATAAGTTACAGAAATTTGTCTTGCACAAAAGCTAGGTAAGTTTCAGGTAAATAAATGAAAAGCTTAGGCTTTTGACTTAGAAAGCTTCAAGCTTTCAGAGATCAACATCTTCTTTTAGTAGTTGGAAAGTTGTGATGGGTGAAAGGTATTTTATTACCACACACAGCTTCTTTCTGCTTTTACTGCTGTTGTACAAATCAAAAATTTCCTTCTTGATTTCTTGCTGATCTCATAGGGCATGTCTGCAGAGTGTGTGTGGTGGGGCTGGGAACGAATACCGGTCTCAAATGGGTTTATCACAGTTCAGCCCTGTGGTGTGTTATCAAAACATACATTGCTTTGTAAATTGTGCTTTAGAAGTGTGGTGCATCTTCAACCAGCACCACAGAAAACAATGTAGAGCTATTGTCTGACATACAGCCTCCAGCTACCTGTCTGCAGAATGATAACAAAAGAGTAATTATCAAAGTGGGGAATAAGAAATATACTCCACAGGTTTTGCTGCTTCTACTGGTTGTAAGGATTCTGAGTGTTTACTCTGGTGTGGCTAAGATACACTACTTCCTTAAGAGGACTGAGATATAATGGAGTAGCTAACTGTTTGTAGTGAATCCATTGGAACTGGGGTTGCAGTTCAGTCATTTGTTGCCCTCAGTAGCAGCACAGATCTGAAGGATTGCCATACCCATGGGGTGCAGTCTTCTGCCACGTGATAACACGGATATTTGTCGTATTGCAACATGTACTGGCTTGGAAAGTTGTTCTGGCATTGAAGAACACAATGGTAGTCGTGCTAGAGTTAGGTCAGTTTGTGTTCTGCTGTTCGTGTGGTTTACCACTTCTGTCATGAGAAAATAGAGGATAGTTGAAAAGGTGGGTGGAAAGAGAACTTAACAGGAAAACAGTCTAAAATCCACTGAATTTAAACTCCAGATTAAATGGCAGCAGCTGACCTCAAAAAATAATTCAGTTCAACCTAAAGATGCTGGATAGGATAATTGCATTGTACATAGAATCATGGTGCAAGACAACAGCTGATACACGCTATTACTGTTTGGTCTTATTACAAAATTAGAATTTTAAACCACTGTAAAATGACTGTTTGTCTCCTAAGCCACCATACTTCTGGTTTGGGAAAATACAAGATGCATTTGACGCACATAAGCAGGTCTTAGGAAAGGTTGAATGTATTTAGCAGTGTTTTAGGATTGGACATTTTTGTGTACTTTGCCAAGGATAACATTTGCCATTTTCAGTTTTCTTTCTTAAATCCGCTTTAGTAAAATTTAGCTTTCTTGCAGCTTTCAACAGGTGACTGGTGTATGGGATCTGGGCTGATTGCTGCTAATAAAGAAAAAGGAAAATTTGGGTCAGATTAAAAGTTTGAAAGCTGTTTTCTAACATTTTTGAAATCACGTATCTTAATTGTAGCCAAACTCTTAAATATCGGGTCACTTTTTCCTGGAATGATGTACTCCTCGATCATAAGTCTTCATTTTAATTCGTTTCTTGAAAGGTGGCATGCTTCTATTAGCTGGCTTATAATGGACACTTATTTCTTGGTGTTTCTTATGTTGCTAAGTTATACTGTTTACTTTATTGCCTTTGTGATTTTTAAAAAATTTTCTCTCCAAGTGATGTTGAGTTAGTGCTATTGGATGGAAATCTCTAGATTTGACTCAGAGAGCCAACTATTGCCTAAGCTGTTTTCTACTGGCATAGGCCAGTAGTGTTACCTGGTATTTTGATATCAAAACTGATTATTTTAATAACTTGGAATATTGCATAATTAATTGGCTGGCAGGGGATTGAAGTAGATGGGAGTTGGCTTAAATAGTGCCTGCAGGGAATGATCAAACAGTGCAGCAGCTCTTGATTTTTATCAGAACTGGGAGGATTGTTAGTGGCAAAATGAATTAAGCAATATGTCCGCTACAGATAGGCAAAAACTTTGGACCTTTTTATAACGTGTGACGCTTACTTTTGTCATCTGTGTAATTGCTTTTTCTTGCATGTTTTTTCTGCCAATGTTCTCCTATTCCTAGTCTGCACTGATAGCCTTGCAAAGGCATTGTAGTTTATAGATAAGGAAGCTTGAAACTGTTTTGGACTCATGACCCTTGTGGGTCCCTTCCAACTTGGCATATTCTGTGATTTAGGCTATACCAGTAAAAAGGAGCAAGCAGGCTTTGAATTTAATTTTGTGGTTTGCCTTACCCTTTTCCTTTTCTCATCCTTAACTTTTTGTTAAAGGAATTTTAAGTCAGATAATGATGTTATTTGCACATCTTCCTTCATAATACCTGACTAAGAAAAACAAAGTTTTCTTACACAAGTTTACTGTCAGCAATTAGCAATGAGCCTCAACTGTGTCAACAAACAATTTTAATGTGGGAATATGAATAGAATCGATTTAGTATTTCATGTTGTATTTCAAGGAGAAGTTGCTCATGCCAAGCAAAAACAAAGCTACTCATTCCATAGGAAGAAAGTCAAATAAGTTGAGTTTTTGCATATGCATGGACATTATCATTAGAGGCATGGCTACAAACACATGGCAGTGTTTCTGTTTGTTACTTCCCCATGATTGCTATTGCCTTGTCCTTTGTATCCTGAGCTATATTGTAATTACTAAAATTGTATCCTGGTTTTCCTTGTCTTTATGGTCCTGTGAAATAGCTTTCTTGTGGCTAAAGTAACTTGCTGTGAAATACAAGAAAGTTAAAGCTTTAAATATGTGAACATTTTAAAAAAGCTATAAAATCTGAAGACAGCATCTTCTACTACTTTTAAATCATTCTTTTAGGAAAGTTTTACTTCTTGCCTAACTTTTGGGTTGATTTTCAATGTGTTTGATCTCTGAACCTCAGAAATATGTATTCTGTGGTCACCTGCTTGTGATAATCTGACATCCTCTGTATCTTAATGCAATATCTTGGAAACCTTGAAATTATTCTTTACCTCAGCAGCTTCCTTCATTCTGTGTTTTGCAATTTCACGTTGAGGACAATTAATAGGTGTGTTTAAGATAGCTTAACCATTTGGTGGTTCAGTGCATTTTAAACATGAGAATAAGGCTACATTACACTTCCAGGACATAATGCTTTTTTTGACAAATTTTTAGCAGAAAAAGAAAGGGAGTGATTACTTAAATCATTGAAATGTGAATAAAAGCAGAGATGAGGAGAAGAAAGATTATGAAGGAAGGAGAGGTTAGGAATTAAGTGAAGAAGGAGAAATAAGACAGTTAGGAAAAATGAACAAGAAAATGCAGTAGAGGCAGTGGAAGCAAATAATCAAACAAGAGCTGTATCTAGCTGAGGGTTTTATTTGGCACCTGTTGTCACAATATCTGAACATATTTCATAGACATTAATAACGGTTCTGAAGTAAATTGTGTCTGGGTGTTTCTGCCACTTCTTGTTTGAGTTATGGTGGTCTTTTGGGGCACAGAGAAGGGTAAAGTTTAGAGTGGGAAGGGGGTTCCCATGCTTTATAACTCCTGTACTTGCTGAGGAAAGGTGCTCTGAGAAAAGCTTTCAGATTCTGGATTTGCATGTTTATTTTATTCTGAGGTTGTTTGTTTTATTTTTTTATTATTATTTGTTTTGTTTTAATTCCACTAGAGGGTTCTTTCAGTTATTTTGCACTGACAGGACTCTGTGTCACTCTTTCTTGCTGACTCTTTCTTTTGCATTGACATTGCCCCAAAATATTGTGTGTCTGAGAGTTATTCACTCTTTGGTCTTAACTCTGCTGCAAAATAATCTGTTGTTTGGGAACATCTGTGGTAATATAAAGGTAATAAGCAAAAGGGAGATGATACAGAAAGGGAAAAGAGAAGGATGAATAAAAAGGTTTTCAACTTTTGCAAAATTTTATTAATTATGGAGTAGATTTACAAATAATTAATAATCTTCAATACTTTTGGCAAATACTTTAAAGCTTTTTTGAAAATGATTTGTGATATAGAATGTGGGCCTGCATGCATGTACAGTCCTTGTCGAGGAATATGTTTGCTATGGTCTGGCAGCTTATTTTTGAAAATTAGGCAGCTTGACTTTTAAAGGGAGTCTACCTCAAATGCATATTGACAGAATTTTCCTGTATGGTTTGTTGTGGTCTATCTGTCCTCCCTCCTCAGGGCTGAAAACTGTGCCAGGGACTGCTGGTCCCAGAGTCTATGTGCTCTACTAGGAACAACTAGAAAGGAATTTAAATTTAAACGATCTGTTTTATAGATATCTGGTATACAAGTCACCGGTTCTGCATTGTCTTTTCGAACACCATCTGTCTCTAATCTGCTGCTAGCTGCCATATTGACCTATGAATGAAGCAAAAAACAATTTATTTCTTGATTAAGATTGCTGTTCAAGTTCTTATTTAATTTTATGAGCCATAAGGAGCGTTGTCTACTAATATCTATGGTATCAAGACTAGAACACATTGTAGTGAGTTTGTAAAGCTGGTATGGATTACTTTGGAGAGCAAGTGAAGATTGTTAGTGAGGGGAGAAGCTAAAATGCTTTGGTTGACCCTGGTACCAGGAAGAGGAGACACATAAACTAATTAATAGAGCAAGAATGTCAGATCAGCACCATGTGGCTGAAAATTTCAAAGGATACAGGTGGTCATTTTTTATTTTAGTTCTACAAAATGTGTATTCCTTCCTTTCTCCCAGTTGAAATGCTTTAAATACAAACTCTTCATTCCAGGTAGTACTACTGAGTTGTTAATGGATGACCTTTAATGCAATATTGCCCAATGTTCTCTTCTTTCTTACAGAAAGATCCAGACTACCTGAAGCTCTGGTTGGATAGTTTTGTTTCTAGCTATGAACAGTTTCTGGATGTGGACTTTGAGAAGCTGCCAACTAGGTATGTAGAATTACATGTTCATCCATCCTTGATATCTGAAACAGACCTGGCTGAGAGCCCAGTCTTGTTCAAGGGCAATACTGCCTTTAAAGAAAAGAAAAATTTTTAGATGTCAGGTGGCACTACCATTCATCTGAAGGTCAAGTTGGGTTAGGAATGATGAAACTAGGCAAATACTGGTATTTGCGTTATCTTGGGAGCTGGCATGAGTATGCCGTGTTCTTGTTTGTGGAAATATAATCATTATTCCTGGTGCATTTTTTTGAATAAGCATTCATTAAATGTTGCATATGAAATAGTATTAGTGCTTGTTATCTGCATCATCAGTGACTGAAGAGAATCAAGATGTAAGTAAAGAGTTTTGTAATTTTATTTCAGGGTGTGCTTTAAGATTAACGATGAGATTAAATGCTTAATGAAAGATTTGCTTGTCTTAGCTGGAAACCTTTTAAAATATGCACCAGTTATAGACTTTAAAGTGATTTCTTTGCATCCATGAAGACTTCACTTTAGGGTAAGAGTATTGCTGACTTCACTCATGTTGCTGACCAAAAGTTCTCACATATAATCATGAGATGCTATTGAAGTCTAATTTCAGAGTTTTATATTTAATATTTTAAATTTGTATGCTGTGTTATCATGATTGTGTTTTCATGTCTAACTTTGCAAATGAGGAATAGAAACTTAAACACTGGATGTTTTCTTGGATGAACTAGGGGTTTTAAGAAAAAACAAAGGTTATGGGAATCAGAATTCATGAGAACTGGTGTCATTATTATAGCTGATACCACTACTGATGTTTGAAAGCAAAGAATGGTGCTCCCTGCATGATGGCTGCAGTCCAAGCCCTGTTGAAATCAATGGAAATTCTTTAATGGGCTTTGGATCAGATCCTGTTTGAAGTGTAAGTGATAGCTTCTACTGTTACAAGGAAATGAAGAATGCTGCAACTGGATCTTGGTGGATAAAACTTGGGCTTCTCAGCTCTTTGTATTAAAATTTTCCTCATCATGCCTATGTGAATACAAAATATGTAATGCAATTACCAATAAGCAAGACCTTCAAATTAATTGTGTGCTCTTTCAAAAGATATGTTTTCTTTGCAGTGTCAAAAATGCATCTTACAGTGTTTGGTTGAGGAAAAGAGTTTATCCTTTAACACAGGTTATCTTTATGCTTTTTAATATTAAAATATGAAGGGGGAAGAGAAGAACGTCTTGGTACTTCGACTATAGGTGCTTTTCAGTTTATTTGTAGCTTAAGTGGTTTTTAGTTTGTGTTCATGGGTCTTGGGTTGGTTTTTTTTCAGCAGCATAACAAACATGAAGCTTAGTTGTTGAGAACAATAGTAGCACCTTCATTGTGATAAATGATGACTTAGTGAGTGTAAAAATAATGTATTTTTCTGAGGTTAATGACAGGATTAGTGATTTAGTCTGAAAGAATAGAACCATGTGGATTTAGACTCATTTGTGGAACAGATGTAATGGAAAAGCATCAAAACAACATAGTGGTGAAGGCAAATCATTCCTGTGCTTTTATGGCTGGATTAAAAATAATACACTGAGAGCAGATATTAGAATGAACAAATAATTACAGTTTCTGCCCTTATTTACATTTGTGATATAGTTAGGCATGTGGAAAATGGCATCTTTCTGAGGTTTGTCAGTTTGTATTGCAGGCATTCACATTGTGAAATTGATAATACTGGGCCCATTAAAAAGAAAAGTAGGTCAGTGTGGAACCACCAAATGCTGATTTCCAGTGACTTGTGGGGCCATCAGACCCTGTGGACTCATTTATTTTTTTTTTAACTTGATTGCTTATTAGACAACTAATTCTGTCTTTTGGTCTTGAAAAAATATATGATGCCAGCTAAAATGAGAAAGTGACTGAACCAATACTTTTTCTCCTTTCCTTTTTTTTTCCCCTTCTATAAATCTTGGTATGTTTTACAGCTACATGCCTGCAAGACTTTGTGTACTGAAGGGCTAATGCCAGGAAATAATGAGAAACTGTGTGGAGAGAAGAAAGCTTGTACAGATTGCTGGACAAAACTAACCTTTTGGAAGACAGGCATAAAGTTTTGTGTCAACTTAAAACATGCAGGGTTTTTTAGCATCCAAGAAAATACCACTTCAAAAATGTAAAGATTCTATTAGGGGTTTGGTTTTAGGATTTTTTTTCCTGAAACAAGGACTCTTAATTGACACTGTTACTTGCTGATTTAACTCGTAAGAGTATTTATTCTATACATTAGAATATATAATTTCCCAAGATCTGCTTTGGAAATCTGAAAGATGCTATGCAGTGTAGAATTAGGAAACCTCTAAATATAGTGGATGAGTGTATCCAGTGGTATCATTTGACTGTATAAGTAGAGCTTATACAATTATGCAGCTTATAGGCTTATACAGCTGCAGGTCTACCTGTATCTTTTATCTATATTTTTAAGTGAAATGGCTCCTTGATAGTGTTATTAATGATTTTGCTGAGAAGGTGAATATAGCTTTGCTGACAGCTCTGAGCATTGAGCACAAAAGACCAGTGCACTGTCTGTTCTTTCCCTAAAAACACGTATTCATGTCATAGGTATTTATCATGTAAAGGATAAACCCTTTACCAACTAGTGGGAAGATTTTTTTTTCTCCTCATTGAAAAAGAGGAATTGTCACTTGGTTTAATACTTTTAGAAATAGCAAAGGCATCCAGAGTGTTGTCATATTCTTTTTCTGCTTTTGGTTTACATGATCTTGAGCAAAGGAGCTTACAGGAAGCTCATGCAAAGTACCATAGAAACCATATTTTGTTAACTTACTGACTTCATAAAAATGCTGCAGGAATCATGATAGGAATGCTGATTATGTGGTTTCCTGGTCGTTGAAAAGTAAAGCCTGGTTTTCTACAGCACTTTTTTCCCAAGTGCTTACTGCTGGTGAGGGAGTGTTCCCAGTGTGTGAGTTAGAGGTGTAATAGGTGCATACAATTTAGGGGTAATTTAACTTCCTTTCAGACACCTGAGATAGCAGTTTGTATTGCTGCATAACCCTGTTAATGTCAGGAAGGAAACTGTAAATAAAAAGAACCCAAATGTGTAAAGTTCTTTCTCTTTTTTTGAGGCAGGGTACCAGCAGTCAAATAAGAATGTCAGTTAAGATATGATCTTCGAAATTTCTTTTTTTTCTTTCTCCTTTTTTTTGGAATACTTAGTTTAAACAGCCAGTCTTGTTGGGGAGAATTGGTACTACATGTAAACAAATGTAACTTTTAGATTTTCCTGGAGGTATAGTAGTAATTTGCTCTGGGGTGAAAAAAAAGTTTGATTATTACTATTTATTTTACATACTCTATAGTATTCAGTTTGAGTAGTCTCAATTAGGATTTCTTATGCTGATCTCATATGAGGCACTAAATTCTCAGGGGTTGTGCAATAGCACAGACAGGCAGCTACTGCAGAGAAAACATTCTTTGGGATATGAGGCATGAAGGGTATGCTGTTTGCTATCTTGTAAAGCATTTTATGATCTTACTGAAAAAGACTTGTTGGCCATTTTAGGGAAGTAACTTTGGGATATATGATTTCAGCTGTCAAAAACTATGACCTTCCTAATACTGAGAGGACATAATCAAAATCTGAAATACAAAAGCTGAGTTATCAGATTACGAGGAACCATGGTTGTAGTTCCAGAGAGTGTGGATCTCCTGGCATCTTGAGGGGTAAAGTTGCTATCAGGGAAATGAAAATTTCATTCCTCGTATTTGTGTTGGAAAAAAGCAGTTGCTCTCAGTTTTGTGGTTAGTGTTTCTATCAGTTTAGAGCCTATAGGCACTGTAAAATTTGTGCCACAACTTTCTGACTCCCTTGAGATTCTGAATCCCAGATCTGAAAAGCATATTGCACAACTCTGTGAAGAGGCAAGGAAATGAACAGTATGTGGTCCTCTGTACAGGTACAGGTAACACTTGTTTTCTAGGATAGAAGAGCTTGCTTTCACTTACACCTCTCTAGATGTTTTACTAAATTAGGTCTCCATTTTTCCCTTCTATATAGACTGCCTTTTTGATGTTAGAAGCTGAACAATGTATTGTACCCCATTTGCCTCAAATAATAGCTATCACAGTGTATAGTGTCAGTCATTGCATTTCTCCACACTTCTTGATGCTTATTCTTGCACAGATCTGTGTATGCAACTATCATATTAGTGAGGTTTTGTGCTAGATGAATTTTTATGGTTATGTTTCCCCTGGCTTTTGTAAGCTGTAAGGCTCTTGCTTTTGTCTTTCTTTTCCTGTGTAGAGTTCATAGAAGATGTCAGAAGCTGCTGCCAAAAGCTAACTCTTTTTAGCATGTGCTACAGCAGATAAACAATCTTCATCCCAAAGAATGTTCTAACAGATCTGTATGTTTCTATACTGTTGCAAAAATGCATTTCCATATGGTTGTTCCTGGATTGTTGGTGTATTTGGTTGTATTCGTGGTTTTTTTCCCCCATTCTTTTCTTCATGTTTTGGTTCTCACTGATGTATTTCTAAAAATGGTTTAGTTCAGCAAAAGAACAATAGGCAAGATAATTTTGTACAGCTTTTTGAAATTTATGTAAGAAAGATGTGAGGTTCACTGTGGGTGAATACTAACTGGGCTTCAGTAACTATGTAATAATTGGCACCTCATTTATTTGGACACTTTTAGTCTCCAGTAGACAGTTGAAAATCTTCCCCCAAATGTGTTATGTTGTTTCATTCCATTGTGGCTATCCTTTTCCTTACTTAGGGATTTCCCAGGCTACCTGTTTACCTGCTGAAGATCATGCAATTTCTTCGTGGCAATTAAGGCAGCTCATTGCATGGAGGAGCATTTAGGAATCCACTTATGGAATTCAACACTTTTTTTAAATGCAGTTCATTGCTGGGATAAAGAAAGCTCAAGCTGGTGTATTGCCACCAGACATTTTCTTGTGGTTCATTAGAAACTGTTTGTGAACTGTCAGTTTGGTGCCCTTTCCTGTGGAACTTTGCTGGAACACTACATGAGTACGTGAAAATTGATTCCTACCATGTCATTTGTATTAACAATTTTGTGTCTGTGTTTTCTCATTAGAGTGGATGACATTCCACCAGGAATATCACTGCTTCCTGATAACATTCTTCAGGTCCTCAGGCTCCAGCTGCTACAGTGTGTCCAGAAAATGTCAGATGGCCTAGAAGAGCAGCAGCAGGCTCTGTCACTTCTACTTGTGAAATTCTTTATCATCCTTTGCAGGTATTTGTTCTGATTGTTACCTCAGCAATGCTATTGTTTTGTTTAAGAAATCTTGACACAGCCTATAAATATGGATTCTAATGACACATACAATGTGATTTGATGTTTTCAGTAGAAACAGAGAAATACCACTTCTCACAATCTTCAAATTAAAGGAAGAGGGAATAAAAGAGAGAAGGGTACAATGCAATAATCTTAGCAATAATATTTGCTATGAGAAAGGGAATAGAAGGCGTTTAGGTGTTAGATTCTCTGTAATTACAGAAGATAAATCTATGGGAATTCAAGATATGAGGTACTGGTATAATAAATACTTTTAAAAGAAAAAGTACACTCTAACAAGTGTTAGATATGAAATAAATTGAGAGAATTGTACAGGAAGAACTGTTTCACGTTTTTAACATGCTTAGCATTCCAGAAACAGCTTATGAAACTTCTATTACACTATGAATGCAGCTGATTTCCTTCTGAAACTTCTGCACTGAAGCAATGAATAAACTGCCTTTAGAGATCTATTCCTCACTATTTCTTCAGTCTTCTATTGTGAAGTGCATTGAGAGAGGAAGGGAAGAAAGTATAATAGGGAACCCCCTTTTCTCAGGAGTATTTGAGGCAGCATTTTTGAGTCCTTTAGTTCTCCTTACCTCTGAGACATACAGAGAGCTGTGTATGGCAGTGTTTAAGTATCCTGGGATTTTAAGTATAAGCTGAGTACCTGGTGATAATGTGTTTTTGAATTAAACTGTTGTCAGCCTTACTTGCTGAATAGTTCTCCTTACAACATCACTTTGGTATCTGATCTTTGTGACTTGTCCTCAAGACTGAGAAATTCTTTGTCGTTGCTTTATTTATGTTCTAAAATAATTTATTAGGTGTTTGTTTTCCTCGGGAGAATTTAAAGTGAATAAATGTTTCTAGGTATATGTTTGCTAAAGTTTTAGAAAGTGTATGCACTAGTAATGTGGGAGAAGTGGAAGTTATTGTCTTTTATCAGATGCCATTTCTGAGCTTTCTATTTAGAGTGTCCTGGGAATCTGCTTAACCTCTGAAACCCCAAATTCCAAAAAGAATTGGCCTACAGCAGAGTGACTTGAGCCTTTCTTCCTGTTAGATGAAAACTTGTGAGCTTTGTTACTGTGACAGAAGTAAACACTTAAGTACATGCAGTCTTTTGGAGAGTATTTTTTAAATGCTAGTATACTTTTGTATGTTTTAGCATTCTGTCTATAATCAAACATTGTTTGAACTAGCTTCAAATAGTACACTGTGTACAATTCTGTGGCTTTTGTGTTGTATTCATAGGAATTTGGCTAATGTGGAGGAGATTGGGATGTGCTCATACATTAACCATGTTATCACCATGACTACGTTATACATTCAACAGGTACGTGGTTAACAATTCCCATCAGTTATTTTTGCCCTCTGATACTTCCTGTTCCTGCTTATCTGATCTACTATTTCAACAATAGTGTTCTGTGGAGAACAGTTTGTGGGTCTGAACTGCTTTGGAGGTGACTGAGATTAATTTTCAACGTCTAGAAATTTTCTGACTGCAGCTCTCTTTTTTTTCAGTTAAAAAGCAAAACTAAAGAAAAAGAAGTGGAAGATCAGACCCCCATAGAAGAATTTGTGAGACATGCATTGGCTTTTTGTGAAAGTCTCTACGATCCATATCGAAACTGGAGGCAGCGAATAGCAGGGTATGCTTGGACTAGGACAGGATTGTAAACACTGTGGTTTATGATAACTTTAACCATGAATCAGTAGAATCACACCACAGAGAAGTGTTATGCTTTCTGAAATTGGATAGGGTTTAAATAACATTTTAAAATTATAATATATTCACTGGCAGTCTAGAAGTTAAAAGTTAAAAGAAAATTAAATTTGAGCGTATACTAAGTGGTGTTTGGTTGTAACTGACCGTCACGAAGGTCCTGTTGTTGCTTTCTCCTTTTAACAACTGGCCCATTTTTCTAAATGGGTGGAACAAAGAAGCCAAGAGGAAAGCAGTATGCAGACCTGACTGAATTAGGGCAAAAGAAGTTATTGAAGCTCATAGTATAGATATGTTGCATCTTTGAAAATAAGTTTATAAATGTTTCAACAGAATTATAACCCTTTAATTCGATGGTTCCCTCTCACCTAGTGAATCCATAATAATGTTTTGTGCCCATTTCAAATTGCATGGTTAAAACATTTTGCAGTCTAGCTGATGGCTTAGTTACAATAAGCATGGAATAAGCATGGAATAAATAAGAGATTGCTGGCTTCTTTATTTTTTTAAAAAACCCAAATAATTTTGTAAAATATTAAGCCATTTCTAGGTGAAACAGAACAGTGAATACAGAATTAGCTGTGATTCATGTTTTCAGGGTGAAATACTACTTCACTATGCTTTGTCATCCTGTAGGCAAAAGATAACTCCTGATTTTTGGCAGTTTTCTACTATACGTCCTATCATAATTTACTATTATGAGAAATAAATTAAAAAGTATGTCATGAACAAAGTATCATATCTGATTTCTTTGGTGTATGTTTTTTAATGTAATTGCAGACATTTCCTTAGTACAGTTGAAAGGAGCAGACAGAAGTATAAACCAGCTTCCCTCACTGTCGAGTTTGTCCCTTTCTTTTACCGTAAGTATCACTAACAGCCTCTTTAAAATAGTCATCTTTAGAGGACTGAACTTAGTGATCCTAAGTAACTTTCTCCTAAGAATGCCTGACAGTGTAAAAGCCCCTCGCTTTCTGAGGCTGAGTGAAGTGCGTTACTTTGGTTGCTTGCTTTTTGCTCGGAGCATCACTATCTTGCCATTCCCCCTCTCATCTTTGAAAGCCTTTTTCTTTTTTTTTCCAGACTTTATTTCAGTGCCCAACATGGTGTAATAGGGTTGGTTCTGTGAATTGCCAACTTTTCTGTTTATTAGTGAAAATAATAGCGCACATAAGGTTCATGTAGCAACTGTGCTGATAACTCTTATGGAAAAATAATCTTAGAAAAGTGTTCCTGCATTTTTGTCTCTTTAATATGATTTAACAGCCAGAAAGAATGGAGCTCTGTGCCATTCAACTAGCAAATGCTCCTTGGGCTTCAGTTTGGGAAACTCCTCTGTTTTCTCTCTGGTTAAGTCATTAAATATCATGATGGCTGCTTTGGGATTCATGTGTTCTTACCATTATAGATTGTTTGTGTGGAAAAGAAGGACTTACATGTCCATATTCTGTACTTAAATCTCAGGAAAGTGGGATGCTCAGCTAGTTTGCTGGTTTAGCATACTGAAGTGATAGTGCCAACAGAATTGAAGCAGCAGGAACAATATTGAGAGATGGGAAGTGAAGGAGTGAAATCAGCCCTTTTTGCAGCTATCTGTTTTTAATTGAAAATAAAAAATGAAGATTCTATTCCTGGAGTGGTAGTGTTTATGAATTTGATTTTTCTAGGTTTGAGTCACAGCTCCTGTTCCTTGAGATTCAGTCACTATGTGCATAAAATAGGATAGTTGCCAAAAAGACCAAATTGCTGATGGCACTAAAATGCCATTATCTATGTGCGAGAGTACTGGAAACCCACTCTAAAGACTGCTACTGAGGAGTGTCATCTGCAGGTTCTCTCCATTCAGTACAGTGCACTGTGGTTCCTCCTAAATCTCTTAAATATTATAGAATGTGACTGAGCTAAAGTTGTGCTGATTAGCAGACAAATGCTCATCTGCTTGTTGGCCAACTGACAGAAAAGACAGAATTTGCCGAGAATGTGCTTTAGACATTCTGCCATGACAGGACTAATTTGAAGGTTTTTAGTCTACCTAACCTAATGATTTATTCACAATCTGCTAGGTACTGCTCTTTTATATTTGTCTGAGGTTCTCCAAAAGATTCAGAGGCTATAAGTTAAGGGAGTGGTGGTACTAACACTGTAGCAATGTGATCATCTAAACTTCGTTTAATTTGAAGAACGGATTTAAAAACTAGCTCTGCAATTTTCTTTTAAAACAGGCTTATACCTTCAGTATATAGTCAGAAATCTTACTGGTCAATAACTAGTACTTGTCTTAAAGGTCATATTATTATTTTAATGCATATAAAAATCTCATTTTCAGTTTATAATGTTTCTTTAAAATCTCAGTTTTTACAAACCCAGGTAATTATCAGTTTTATTTTACAAAGTTATTGGAAGTTTTACAATAGTTAATTCCAAAAAATAATCAATTGTAGTTTGTTACAACTACTTTGAGTGTAGTTTTATTGCTTTTTAAAAAATATCTAGGTTATATATATATTGCTAAGAAGAGTTCCTGAGGCTGATTGTAACTAATTTATATCAGATATGGCATGAGAAGAGATGCAGGATAACTGCCTTTAAAGACTGCTAGAAAGGTTACAGACCTGCATGGGATTTGCTGGAAAGTTTGGCTTTAAGGGAGCAAACTCAGGGACTGTTTTTTTGAGCTACCTGCACTGTATATGGCATCAGACTTTGCATGCCAAAATTGCTCTCACCTTTCTCATGCTTGATAACTGGTTGTGTGTTAACACATCTTTCTATTTCCCATTAGTAGGGACAAGATGAGCTTATTTTACATTATAAATCAAGACCAACGGCTGTTGTGTCTATAGTTCTGTCAGCCTTCATTGAATGTTTTATGCAAGCTGAAGGTCTGGCCCTGAGAATTCCTGATAAATGTGGTCATGTTATGTTACTTTGATAATGCTGGAATTGATGTTTGTGTCTAACTTACATAAAAGTGGAGATTATATAGTTGATTTTATTTTTTTTTAATTTGTATGATGACAGGGAATATAGGCAGGGGTTTTTTTATTTAATTTGTTGGTGGGTTTTTTTGAGAGGAAAAGTTTGGTAAAATTTATGTGACCAGAGTAAGAAATTCTTCTTCTTTTTATTTACTCCAATCAGAATGCTTTCAAGAAAGTGAACATCTCAAGGAAAGCCTGAAATGTTGCCTGCTGCATCTCTTTGGAGCTATTGTGGCTGGTGGTCAGGTAAGGATGTTCTAAACCCTTTCCAGCTGCTGAGGCCTCCAAACGTCTGTTCCTTGCTTAAGGCTTTTAAACACCCCATAACCCATAAATGAGAAAAATTTACTATTGACTATGAATTGTTTCTATCTTACAAATTTTGGGATCATTCTGTGCAATAATATCTAAATGCTAAAAGCTGAGTCTTACTTTGTAGCAACACATGAAGTTGATCTCTCTTACTTCCAAGGTTGAAAGTAAACTGTTTCAGTAAGAGGCATGGAGCCCTTATACTTGGAAGCAATTTAAAATCTTTGAAAGAATATGAAGAAAAGAGAGTATTCATCATCATCAAAGCCACATCCACTTTCTCAGTTGACTTCTGTAATATCCTGCATACTCTGGTCACAAGCAGATGTTACTTCTTATGATCCTGAAGAAAGAGTGTTTTAAATGTGTTATCAGGGAGCTGCAAAGCCAGGCACTGCTCCATTAGGGAAGGCAAGCTGAGACTGAGCAGGAAGGCCAGACAGGCAGAGGCAGTTGGCCTAACTGGCAAAAGGTGCAGTCTCACTATACCTGAACAAGGTCTGGTGGTTGTAACCAGGGTCAGCCAGCCCAGACCACTAGGCAAGTCTGTAGTGATGAAACCTAATATCAAGCCAGGAAGTCTGGTCAGCATGTCAAAGTAAGGATTTGGTCTAGTGATGGTAACTGGAGTCAGTCAAGAGGCCAGTGGTTGCCAGCCCTGTCCAAAGTCATGAGGCAGTCTAAGGTCAAGCTGGGCAGTCAAGTGTGTGGGTCAGATTCAACAGTACATGGCCAGGCATGGACATGGCTGCAGTGTAGTTCAGGCAGGTAAAAGGTTGAGAGCCAAAACTTGAATGCAGTTCCCTAGAGAGGGCAAGAAGTCCCTGATAGGGCTTCTCAAAGGTCTCTACAAGCCTCCCCTCCTGTCCAAGATTTAAGGTGCCCCTGAGCCTATGCAGTCAGGCCTCCAGGAAGAAAGGCGAGGGGAGTGCACTCAGGGCCCAGACAAATATTTGCTAATTATTATGTTCTTATTCTTATTGCTAATTCTAAAGTATCATGAATGTCTTTATCTGAAATGAAAATTCAATTTAAAGTTTACCTAGAATTAGCAGTTTATTGAGGCTACTTTATATGAATTTTGTAACATGTTTTAAATTATATTTCCTTTTCCATATAAGTATTCTCTTTGAAAGAGAAAGCCTATTTAAGTGAACAAGATGGGATGCATTTCATCTGTAGCCATCAACATAATCCAATTAGAATGTTTCACGTTTATTTAAAAACTACAGGGCATTAAGAGACACAATAATGAATGTTTCATGATTCAGATAATTTGAGTAGACACTGCTGGTTTGAAGAGGTTTAATTTCCGTTTAAAATTAATTTATTATTATTTTTGCCTGATGGGTTTCAGAGGAATGCTCTTCAAGCAGTATCTCCTGCCACCATGGAAGTCTTGATGCGTGTTTTAGCAGACTGTGACAACTGGGATGACAGAAACCCTGAGGAAGTGAGCAGGAAGGCAGAGCTGACTCTGAAGTGCCTGACAGAAGTTGTCCATATCCTTCTAACCAGCAGTTCTGACCAGCGTCAAGTGGAGACAAGTACAATATTGGAGAACTATTTCAAGTTGCTTAATTCAGACCATTCTGCTTTACCTAATGCGAGGCGATGCAGGCAGTGGGAGAGCAGATTCATAGCACTACAGATCCAAATGCTGAGTGAGTACTCAACTGTCCAGTTTCTTGAAATATTTCTTGACAATAACTCTATAGCAAGTAATGATTGGGCCATGATAGTAATATCACTGAATGTTCTACCAAAAAATGTTCACTTGGCTAAGCAATTGAAAATTTTCTAACATTTCTTCTTTGATATTACTTTATATATATTCTAGTTTAATCATTTACTATCAAAAACCAAACCAAAACAAACAAAAACACCCCAAGAAAACCCCCAGAAGAAGTGATATCATATTGCTACCATTTAACCCGTGTCAAGGTTTGTAGACTGCCAGTATCCATGAAAAAAGAAAAATGTTGCTAGGCAACAACTGACACTCGTCAGCACTTTAGTAATGGCAGAATAAGACTGTTCTGTAATAAAATACCCATGTGGTGGCTGTTTTGTGATAGTTTGCTTTTCAAATGGCATTGTTCTAAACATTGGCCAGAAGTAATAGTCTGAAACAATTGGGTTTAAATTTTTGGGTAAGAATTCAGGGATTTGTTTTTTCCACTTTGATGTTCAGAATGGGAAATAAAAGTACTTGTTTTTCCATACTTCCTCAAATACTAAAGAATAGTACTGAGGCTGTGACGAATACTACAGTATAAGGCTGCTGTAGAATGCAGAGTAAAGCAAGTCTTCACGTACTTTAAAAAAAAGTAATGCTGCTCATGTGTTCAAAACTGGCAGTGACTTCAAACAGAGCTCCAAAACAATCAAAGATATTCATTAGCTGAATTTTTCTCCAGATATAGTAGGTTATGTGGCAATTTTTACAGCATCAAACTGTTCAGCTCTAGGCCTAGTGATCTGTGCTTAAAACATGTCATTCTTGATCAAAGAATGCAGAGCATATTGGTTGTTGTATATTTTTTCCCTATGTTTATTATGTAATCTGCAGAAAAAAATGCTTGATGGATTTGGCAAGTGTTTTGTCTTTGATGCCAGTTCTGTTTTAATTTTATAGATACCATCACAGCCATGTTAGACTGCACAGATAGGCCTGTTCTGCAGGCAATTTTCCTTAACAGTAACTGCTTTGAGCATCTCATTCGACTGTTGCAGAACTGCAAGGTACGTTTTCCCTTATCAGAGTACGTTTAACAGAACCTGTCTTGTAATATTACAAGTATATTAATTATCTTTTCATCTTCCTTATGAAATAGAAGCAATTTTAAAGTGTCTGCACACTGAAAGTGAAACTTTGGGTGGGTTAGAGCCACTAATGCCATGAAAGATCTCAAAGATTCAAGTTGCTCTAAAATCTGTTTTTTATTGCTAATGAAGTAGAGGTGTTTCTTGTCTGTCTTGTGATTAAAGCAGTGAATGCTTATTTTGAGTCCTGAGCAAAATACCTTTACAGACCCCATTCAGTCTCTAGAATCTGTTACGATAGTTACTGGAAACAATCCCCCCTGCCTTTTTGTTTTGGTTTATGTTGCGAGGGTTTTTTTTTTTCCATTTGTTTGTTTCTTTTATATTCTGTCACTGGATTGCTAGGAAGTCACAACTGCTGCCAGATGGAGGTCTGAACTCTAATTTCAGAGGCATATTTTTCCATTAAAAAAAAAATCTTGCTAGTGTGCCATTGTAAGTGTTTCAAAATATGAGTCCTGTGTGTAGCTGACATAAAACATGTGATCAAGCTGTTAAAAATGTTCTTTGATTGTTCTTTTTCTACATAGGATTTAGTGTTTTTGTCTCAATCCCAGATGGTCATAATTGGCAAACTATTGTCTTTCACTGATTGCTTTGTAGATTTTATTTTTCCTTGTGTAAAAGAACATAGATATGATATAGCTCTCTGGAATATTTTTTTCTCTTTTTGTGATATGTAGGTGACAGAGTTGTTTTGAGCTCTTTTGATGCTAGATAATTTAATGCTAGCTACAGTATGCAATTTGTTTCTTAATCCATTTAGATTTTGGATTAGAACATATTTCAGTGCAGTGATACATTAAAAATAAATGTGTTTGGATTATGTCTTAATTGTAATTATATTCAGTGGCAGAATGCCAATTGACTTGCACTGTTTTGAGTAGTGTTTGTAATTTTATTATCTTCTCCTGAAAATACATTGTTTGACCTTTCCATTCTCCTCCTCTGTTTGGGAATCTCTGCCTATTTTTGTACTAACCTTGTACTCTGTAAGAAACTTCAAGAAACTTCCCTTTTAGTTTCTTCTGAAGTCATCAACAGTTTATCTGTTCATGGAGAGTCCAGCTGTGTTCCTGCTCTCATAAATAAGTGGTGGAATTTAAGAAAGCAGGAACAGCTACTCTATTTTTGCAGCTTGTTGTTTTTATTATTCTGCCTGTAGATGTGTCAGAAGATACACTCTTTTAAAGTTTTTTCCTGTGATACTGTCTCACATATCACTGGGAGTGATTGGGTATCAGTACTTCAAGTTTGCTACGTTGTACACTTTTTTTAACCTTTCAAGGTCAAAATACCCCCAAGGATGAGAAGTAGGGAGCGGATAGAGATAGGGTAGGTGTTACAGTATATTTGTATTTTCAAATATACCGTATCTTAATTCTGAGTGTTTTTCACCTTTGATATCCAAAGAGATGGACTGTAATTTAGAGGTATCAGAAGGTGCTTATTCTGTTCTGAGAGTCATTTAACAAAGTGGTTTGTCGGTGCTGAATCTTTTCTTGTCTATTAAACTCTCTCAGAGGTCAGACTTTGAGTAAAGCACAACAACCTCTAGCAGTATGCCTGGTTAAAAAAAATAATTTTGAACAGCTTTTTAAATGGAAGGGTTAAAGCCATATGGACATTGTAATAATCTATTTTTCCTTTTCACAATATATATTATGAGAAATTAAGTAACTCATGAAAAATTCCATGTATTTTTTTTTATGTCTGCTTTTGCTTCTGTTTAATGTTCTTATTCTTAGTTGTTAACGTTAGAGCCCTCTGAGGCATATTATAGTTATTCTGCACTGTTAAGTACTCTTGACTGTGATGTACCTTTCAAAGTGACTTGTGTTTCTAACCATGTGCTTTTGCACCTATGTAAGTCAAAGCAATATCTTAAGTGTTGTCCTTTGTTTTGCCCTAATTTATGGAAGTTGATTTCTCAGGTTGTTATTCTTCAGAGAGACTGCCTAGCAGATAATGGCACAAAATGTGTGTTTGTGTGGGGTGGGGAAAGACAAATACTTAGTTTTTACCACTAAGAAACACTAAAAGAAAGTGTTGTTTCCCTTTTTTTTTTTTTTTAAGGGACTTTTGATACGTTTTGGTCAGGGATTTTTTTAACAGTGTGGTAGAAACTTAGAAGGAGGTAAATTTAAGTCCTGATTAGGTTACAGCTAAAGTTTGCACACAAGTTGACTGCAATCAATTATGAATTTGGGTGAACTTTAAATTTACAAATTCAGGAGCTGACTAGGAATCCAGCTAGTTCCAACAGAGCAGTTCCTTTGCTAAAGATGCAGTATAGATTTATGTTTGATTTAAAGCTATTTACAACCTTCCTGATTCTTAGGATGATGTCAGATATTTTGCCTTTCTTCCTGATCTAAAGACTGTGTACCTCAGAAATTCTGCTACTGTGCTGTTGGAAGATTAAATTATTCTGTCTAGGTATCTTCAGCCTTCACCTAGGATGAAACATAAGTAGAAGGTGGTGAAACATCTGTATCCATTTCTTTGCTAATGCCCCACTGTTGTCTTTATTTCTTACAAGCAAATTTTTGAGAACCTCCTGTCATCTTGCATGTTGTAAATGAAATTAGAGATGCTAAGCTGGAGACCAATAAAAATTCCAGATAGATCTCTTTCCTTGTCTCAGCAATTATATATTTTCTTTTTTTTTTTTTGAGGTAAAAAATGAATTACTCTTTAGAAAAAAATACAGTGTAATCTTCAGTATTAAGAATTAACAGAAGACTAATAATAATGGAGGATTGCATCTCACTAGTGTGAGAACACTTTCTTTTTTTTCTCCTTTTTTCTTTTTTTTTGGGATGTGAAATACAAACCCAAGGCAGCCTCCACAGGTTTGGCTGCAGGTAACTGTTTAATGTGCAATTATTTCCATTATTCTTGTCTCTGTTTCTAACAGCTGTTTTTAAATGCTAACAATAAAGTCGCAGACAAGAGTGAGAAAGACCTTACCAACAAATTACTGACAGAAATGAATGAGGACCAGGTACCTACCTAAACTGTATTTTGCTTCAATCAAAGTCAAACCACAATCACAGGAAAATTGATTCCTGTGCTTCACCTTAACCATCCTATTTAAGCCTTCTGCAGCAAGCTGAACTTGTGTTGCTGCACACATCAGTATTTCCTGTCTCTCAGAAAATGATTTTTCTGAATAACAGATTTAATTCAATCTTATGTTTTATTCATCTACTTCAAACTGCAGATATTTGCAATAGACTGGGCCTCAGTTATGCTTCTTTTAAGGAAAAGGTGAAGTACATGAATGGAATCCAAATAAATTCTCTCAACCTGGTGGTGATTTTTTTTCCCCTCGTTTTCTTCTTTTTTGCTTCTTTGTCTCAGCACTGTGGTGTTTTGGATTCTGGGGCCTTGTTTGTGAATCTCAATGGTTGTGTTTGGTGTCCTGATTCTTTGCTTGTCATCAAGAACAGATGTTCACAAAACAATGGACAGGCTGAATCAGGGAGGTAGGAATAGCCTGTTGTTTTACTTTTTCCAAATATTATGGAAAGTTTCAAATGCAAATTGTTGTATTAATTTTATAGTAGAATTATTTTTTCTGATTAAAACTGTAAAGAAATGCTAAATACAGGGGATGGTAATCTACAAATTGTGATTTTTAACTAATAGCTTTGGCTTTTTTGGACACAACACAACGCTCTAACCACATCTAAATGTTTCTGCACATCTAACTTGGTCTTCTAATTCTTGACATTTGATTTTCAAAATATGTCTGAGATGCATATAATATTCCAGAGATGATGAAAACAGTACATTTGTTTGTACAGTGTTGCTAATTAGGCGTACGGATGGATGCAAAATAGTGCTCCAACATTTCTGTTCTTAAAACCACCATAGAAATATCAATATAGACAAGAATTACAGGAAAAAACCTCAAAGGATTGCTTAAATTGGAGAGAGAGGTGTTGATCAGTGCAATGAGACTATGGGTGAGGTAGCCACCTAACTCTGGCTGTGTGACTTATCTCTTATAATTTGTGTGTTTGTGTGCTGCATTGGTGTGTAGGGCCTTGGATGGAAAAGAAGACACTTTATATGAACTGCAGGTGCCTGATTGTCCAGCAGCACACACACACATACTGCAAGAGATTTCCTGATTGTTTTCCTCCCTCCCTCTTGAGGTTGTCCATTACGCGCATGAGGAAAACTTGTTTGTCCTTTAGACTATTTGAAGTGCAGCGTGTGTTGTGAATGCTTCTCTCCTCTTGAAGTATGTGGATAGTTGTCTACCGTGGTGTAATTCCTTGTATGCTGTGGGGTTATGAAATCTTGACTGGTGGGGAGATGATTTTTGAAGCATGTTGCCAAACTCTTGGTTTCCCTCCTGGCAGGAGGGCACAGTACACGTTTTGGAGCTCAACCGTCTTTGGGCATTTGTTTATGACTTCTGTACCTGCTACTTTCAGGTGTTTCAGGGACACCTGGACTCCTTGGCAGTATCAACCATTCAAGCCCTCACAGCAGTAATGCACAAGTCTCCAGCTGCAAAGGTAACAGTATACATGCAGAGGTCTATTTGCAGTAGGCTTCTTGATCTTTTTTCCACTTAGTGTTTTTATCACAGTATCTTGATGGATCTTCCTAATGAAGATGAGCAGATTGTGGTCACACATTCATGACAGATAGCTGATTAGAATTCCTTATATGTGTCTAGTGGCTGAACACTGAGTCATCTTTCTTTCAAAACTGGAAGATCAGAGTATAATAGCAGTTGGAACTTTGTAAAGGAAGTACATTGTTACTTGTCCCATGACTACATGGGGTAGACTTAGTGGGTATTTGCAGGAATTTTCAGGCAGGAATTTGTGCTGTAGTTTTATCATGGTTTTAAACTAACCTAGGACAGTATTGCTGTCCAAATGGTGGTCTTGCCATTCCCCTACCCTTCCTTGGTAGTTACTCTTGTGGTTTGATAAATGGATAGGTTGTGGTTAGTTTGTGATTCTGACTGGAAGCTAAGCTCATGGAAAAGTAGTATTTATTCCTGGATTGCTGAGTTCATTAGATTCTAGCCTTGGTTAAATGATTCCCTGGTCTTGGCACAGGGAAAGGGATGTGGCTGCACAGTATGGTCTAAAGGAAGAGTGGGAGTCATCTGATTTTATTGCTAGTTGCAGTACAGCCTGAGGGAAAAACAGCAGGGTCAGTTATGCTCCTCCAGAGCCTTATTCAGGGTGCTTATTTCTCCACTGACTCTGGAAAGCCTGAAAAGAGTTATATGTTGGAGATGAGAACTGCTGGGATTCACAGAGGGTCAACAGAGTTTTCAGTTGTACTTCTGCTGCAACATACATTTTTCTTTTTTCTTTCCATAGTTACCTAAGCAACCACCTCACTTCTGATGACAGATTTATTCTTTTTAAAAAAATAAAATTAATTTCAGTGCAGAATACAGCCAGGAGAAGAGTATCCATTCCATATGATGTGTTGACTGTTTATTAATTAAACCATAAATGGATGCTACATCTTGAACTTAACTGGCTGATTTAATATTTTTCTCTTGATGTAAAAATCAATTAGTTTTCAGAAGAATTTCCTTGGAACACTTTACTAATTTTTTAAAGTGTTTAGGATGGGTGGTTTTTAATCAACTGGTCTAGGAGAATCTTTGACTGAAAGATTAATATTTGAATACTTCTAATTCTTAATGTAAACATTTCATGCTGTAGTTTGCACTAAAAAACAAAGCTATTAGTTCTTTGCGATAGTTTTAACATTTGGATTATACTGAAGCAATTATATTTTTGTATAGGTAATTACTAAAATATTACTTTGAACTTTTATTTGTTTATCTGTGTGCTGCAGTGAGATCCTTCTCATCTGTAGCATTCTAGAGACAGTACAATGGATATGTTATCAAAAAGAGATTTTTATAGCATTCTAGTTATTATGTGTCTAATATTTTGTTAAATTAGAACCTGCTGCAGTAGGCGAGCAATTTTTGTCCATTTTATTTGTTAGTGAGACTGGGATTTTTATCCTCAGGAAGTCTTCAAGGAGAGGATTGGCTATGCACACATATATGAGGTACTAAAATCACTGGGTCAACCCTCACGGGAATTGCTGGAAGAACTCATGAATATGGTGAGATGTCCTTGCTTTGAAAGCAAAAACGTTTACGTCCTTCAAAATTACTTCTAGCCCTATTTTATTGTTATTTCACATCTGAGTTCTCTGCTGTTTCTCAGGCTGTTGAAGGTGACCACATGGCTGTTGGGATACTAGGCATTAGTAACGTCCAGCCCTTATTGCTGCTTATCCAGTGGCTTCCAGAACTCGAATCACATGAGCTGCAGATTTTCATCTCAAATTGGTTGAGGCGAATCTGCTGTATTAACAGACAGAGTCGTGCCACGTGTGTCAATGCAAACATGGTCATCCGGATCATTGAGACACTCAACTCCCACTCTGCCCTCCACTGTACTTGTGCAGAGAACCTGATTGCCCTTCTGGGCTCTTTGGGGAGCCAGTCAATGGGCTCAGAAGAACTGCTTCAACTGATACGGCTCCTGAGGACTGAGGAGCCCAGAGGAGCTCACCCTTACGTGGTTCCAGTGATGCGAGCCATCCTGGCGATGGCCCGGAAGCAGGGCATGGCCAGTGCCTTGCAGTACTTCAACTTGCACCACAGCATGGCCGGGATCGCTGTGCCAGCAATCCATAGGTGGCCGGGCTCTGCGTTTTCTTTCAACGCGTGGCTCTGCCTTGACCAGGACCGGGTGGACCCCAGCACGACCAGCAAAAGTGGCAAGAGGAAGCAGCTCTATAGGTATAGTTACTATAATTACTTCAGCAGCACAAATCTAGGTCATCTGTTCCCCATGGCATATGGTGCCCTGTGACATGTGGCGCTTCTGCTTATCTTCATAGAGTGCAATGCATAACGCTTAGTCTGCGAAAGGGAGCGGTTTCATCTGTCACCAGAGCCAGGTTATGTTAAAGAAATAAAAGTGTAGTTTTTCTGTTATAATGTTTTATTGTCTACAGTTCAATATCCATAACTCCAAATTGTGTTAAGGTTCACTGCTTAAACAAAACAACATTAAAAAACAAAAACCAACACCCCAAAAACCCCACCCCAATGAAGTCTATTTTTTGTATAAGAGCACAATGAAAAGGACAATTTCATAGTGCTTAAATAGTGGCTATTGACACGAATGGTTCTTGATATAATTTAACTTTCTGGCTACTAACATTCAGCAGTAAACAGAATGTCTTCTGTTTGTTTTTTTTTTCATAACAAGAGTGACAGCTAGTCACATAGTAAATATTGGACCAACAACAATGACTTAAGTTGATTCTCTCCTTAATGAAAGTACTGTTAGGTGGTAGTTTTGATGAAGCAAGTCCTTGATTGTCTGTTTTGTTCTCTTTCTATAGCTTTTTTACAGGAAGTGGTATGGGGTTTGAAGCCTTTATTACATGCTCTGGGGTATTGGTGGTTGCAGTTTGCACAAAGAGGGAATATGCAACAGTGATGCTGCCTGACCATTGTTTTTTTGACTCTCTCTGGGTAAGATTTGATACTGACAAACACTGTGTTTGGGATAGTACTGTTAGCTAGGAAGTCCAAGTTCTATTTTTTGGTTATTTTACAAATATATATCTCAATAATTCATTGCATAAGAACAGATTTAATTTCAAATAATGAAGGTAATTTTCATGTAGATGAGTCATTGATGGAGCTAACTTATGCTTGTGTTACTAGGCATTTTTTATTATTAAGCTGGTTACAGCATTAGAGGGTTTTTTTATATTAAATTATAACAAACGTAGGTGACTGTGGTGCTATGTGAATATATAAACTGTCCTGCTGTGTTTCTCTCTTAACCTTTTCTATTCCCATACTTAAAGTCTGATGTACAGACTTTCCATATCATTATGGAAGAGCTGTATCTCTTTTCCCTTCAAAAAACTCACTCTTCCCTTACATATAAACATGTTTGCTACTTTTAAATGGAAGGAGCCAATAGGTGGTCTTATCTTCTAGTTCATGCTTTGGATTTATTTTCTTAAGTGGTTTCCTCCCCAGCCTAGTAGAGATGAAGTTAAATAGTTCCATATAGTCATTTCACTGTTTTTAATAATGACTTAATTATTTTATATTGCTTAACCAGCACAACATAACTATTGTTCATGTGCCTGGAAAGAGGCCCTTTGGTCAGAGCCTTGTGTATATCTACGTCAATGGACAGCAGAAGGTCTCTGCCCCACTTCGATTCCCTGCTATGAATGAAGTAAGTTCCCTTCTGAGTCATACCCCTGTTGGGATGAGCTCTCACAGATTAATGAAAATATAGGTGCCATTCTTAATTTGGAAGTTGTGTTAAGAGTTTAATAGCTTAGCCTATTGCTAATAAGCTTCTGTTCAACTTTGGACACTGTCCAGACTATCGTTTTGGAGTGTAACTAATGTAAGTAACGCTTGTTTAGTCATCTCAGTTTAAAAACAAAACAAAAAATCCCACTAGATGACCTTGATTAAATTGTGAGGTTTTCCTCAAAATAATTGCCTGAACATATTGACATTATGGTTAAGTTATAAAAAATCAGAGCTCTGCCAGTAGGATTGATGTAACAGCACTCGATGAGGAATATTCCCTGTTGTTTTCAGTGGTAACTTCTTTTAATTGCATTTTTTAATGTTTCCTTAACTATATACTAGTCTTATACCTGCTTTGCTAACTGGATAAGCAGTTTATGTGCAGTTAATCCAACTATTTTGAATGTGCACAAATTTAACCAAAAAATACACTAACCCTCAGAATGAGTGTATATCATGTTTGGTTTCCTTTGTAAGCATTGTTCATTCTTTTTGTGGAACAAATTTATTTTAAACTGGGCTACAACACTGAACATTCTTCCCTCTTTTGTAAGTTCTAATTTGATATTTGTTAGGTATGTGGAGCAAATAGTTAAATTGGATGCTGTCATAGTAAAATCAGTATAAAACTTAAAAATGAGAGTAAATGTAGTTTTCCTTGGTAGATAAAACTCTGGATTTTGGCCTATCTGTAGAATAAGTGCTGTAAACATCAAGGTAACTGAAACTGAGGCAATTAAGCTTACCATGAGAGCATCTATTTTAGTGGAATAACTGATAGGAGAAATGTACAGTAACAGATATACTGGGCTAGTATTTTGGAATATAACCCAGAAAAGGAGTGTTTATGAGGATATCTGGAGCACCGTCCTTCCTGTGTGTGCTCCTGCCAGAGGTCACACAACAGTTGGAGTAATCAAATTACTCTTACTTGGAGAAAGGGCATTCTCTGCTGTTGCGAAAAGTGGATGCTCTTTTTCTTTTTTTTGCCTAACGTTTTTCGGGGCTTGCCAGAACTTGTTACTCTTGGTTTAATTTATTTAGTTCAGTATTGCTAGATATAGTCTTCAGATTTAGAGTGTAGATTTACAGTATGTGTTTCATTTTCTTTCTTCCATGTGTGACTCTCCAGTCTTTTACTTCTTGCTGCATTGGTTCAGCTGGTCAAAGAACAACAACTCCTCCTCCATCTCAGATACCAGATCCGCCTTTTTCCTCCCCAGTTATGCCCCATCGGACATCACTTGGGGGCATTCTCTCTACAGGAAGTTGGGGTGGGGTGCTTGGGAAACCAGAGCTCATCACCAAGATGATCTCAGCAGGGACTCAGGACAGCGAATGGGGGTGTCCAACATCTTTGGAGGGCCAACTTGGATCTGTTATCATCTTTCATGAAGCACTGCAACCTTCTCAGGTGAAAGCATTATATTTAGCAGGTGAGTGGTGATTGTAGTGGCTTAGTGGAATAAAAGGAATGAGTTACAAACAAGACCCCATTGAGCTTTGCTCTATACAGACACATAACGAAGAATTTACAGTCCAGAAGCCTTATAAAAAATAAACTTAAAATTTAATGATAAGTATTGAATGAAGTTTGATTTAAAAATGTTATGTTTGCATAAGCTCATCTATTTATCATATGTACAGACCTGCCAAAATCAGAATGTTAGGTAGTATTTTCACTTGTAAGTTCTTAATTTTTGCTGCTGTTTGCCTACATGTAAATTTACAGTTGAGACTCCCTTAAAGTATTGCACTTGCTATGATAGGCCACTTTAAAGTGATTTATGCTTGAGGATTTTTCCATAAGAATTAATTATTAAGTGGTCATTTAAAAAAAAAATACACTGAAAGTTATGTCATACAGTTCAAAGTGTTAAGGTATTAAGTTCCATAATGACTTGAGGTTGTTAGAGATTAGCATTAAAACATTTGTATCGTATCAAGGAAATATTTTGTATTGATAAACCAAACGATCTTGAGGATTACTTATTTTTGGGCATCTGGGCTTGATGACAGAGATTAGTGACAAATATGAGATAGGTAATTGTAAAAATAAACATTAGAGCTGTTTGAATGTATAAACCCCCCTGTTTTTTGTTGTGTAGTTTAGCTTTTCATGAAGAATATATTTCTTTTTAAGCAGACCCTATGAAATAAATTATTTAAGTCATAGAGACTCCTTCAAAGCATGTCTCAAATAGATATGGTTCAGACTGTCCTATTTGTTGTTGCAACAAATTGTAGCAGTATAAAATTTGTAAAGAGCAACATTAATATCCAGTGGACTCTTGAATATATGTATTATAAATATATAATTGTGTATATATAATTTGTTATAGGTCCAAACTGTTTAACTCCATGGAAGTCTCAAGAGGCCGAAGTAGCAGATCTCCCCAGTAAGGTGCTGCTTCATTACACACCAAAGGTATGAAACAGTACATAACTTCTCTTTGATTTCACAGTGTGGATTACTTCTGGAATATGTTCTAGATGGTCTTTGTTTTGCTATTGCTGTTTCATAGAACAGATGAGTGTGTCATCTTTACACTGTGGTTATTATGGCAAGATAAGGAGCTGTGAGAGCTTTCTTAAACTGTAATCTTCTGCAGACATAGTAGGTTTTGTCCGTGTTTGGCAAAAGGACAGAATTATCTTGTACAGCAGTGAATGTCAAGTCTCAGATGACATATATGATGTTCTAAGGATTTCGCATTGTTTAAATACTTTAATATCAGCACATTGGCACTAACTTCCTGAAACACATTAACCATCACTCTGAAATGTCATGTGTTCAAGGATCTGTAACTTGTTTCCTATAAGAAAATAGCTGCTTTGTTTGTTTAACAGGCCTGCAGAAGCCCAATTTGTCTTGATCTGTCTGCAAACCTTTTACATGGAAGACTAACTGGAAACAAAGTAGTGAACTGGGACATCAAGGTAAATGCATTCTGAAGAAGCAGAACCTGATGTAAACAAGCCAGTGGTTGTGTGCATTCACCTAACTTTTGGAATGCTGGAAATTATTAGCATAATGCAAATTATATTTAGCAGATACAGCATGTTTTTATAATGAGAATTAAAGAGATAATGCTGTAGCTGGAGTAATATTGCATTTACATTGCATTTATTGAGAACTTACAAGGGCCACTGTTTTTACTGTCACAGTGTATGAAGATGTTTTGTGATAGCTGAGAAGTCTTCATAATCATGTTGAATGCATGTAGTCTATTGAAAGCATTTTGTCATCTCTAGGGAATTTTGTGATTTTTTTTTTCTTGTAATCTTAAACTCTGAATGAGATTAAGATTAGTAGGGTTAAGTGAACACTTGTGACTTGTCAGTAGACTACTATGTTTTTTTATCTTGAGGAATAATTTACAAGCAAATAAATATGAACTGGGTTTTTTTTTACATTGAACAATCAATTGTACTAGAAAACTAAGTAATAAGGAAATATTCTTAGAACAACCCTATGCATATGCACTGTGCATGTCTCCACAATCACTTATGGACACTAATGTTAAGAAAATTCAGACACTTGGTAGTTAATTTTGCTATGATATGAGTAGTTTGAAAATACTGCAATTTGTCCTCTTTACCCAGTAGTGGGAGAAAGGAGGGATGAGAAGTGTTTATATCTCTAGCTTTATGGAAAAGCATATTGTGAGAACAAGTCTTAGCGGAATCATTCATTAACAAACATGCTGGGGTTTTGCACCATCTTGAGGTGGACTAGAGAGGAAAAACCACAGGAGCTCATGAGGAGATAGGTACAGCCTAGGAGGAGCTACAGCTACTGCTGTCCTGTGGTTCAGGCAGATTTCTGTTTTCCAACTTTGATTTCTTTTTCCAAAATTTGCAGGTCTGTGGTGCCTTTTGTTTTGCACAACAAACACAGAAATCTTCATCCGTGAGATAAATTTTGCAGATTTAAAAACATCATCTTAATTTCACTTTTCAATTTGTTTAACCTCACCTTAATAAATATGGACTGGAGAAAGGGCATAATAAAGACACATGGAGTAGAGTTACAACTGAAAAAGCAGACAACAATGAGGAGGAAAGGGGTGATTTTTTCCACTTGTCTCCAACATTTCTGGCTTGGAAGGGAGAGTGGTATCCCTCCCATGTTACTAAACTGGCATAGAGGATGTTGGGGTTTTTTTGGCTGTTAAAATTTTACTCTGCAGTAGTTTTCATTGGACTAAGCTGGCACTAAATGAGTAGACGTCTCTGACTAGCTTGCTGAGACTGCATTTTGAATTGATTTGAAGTGGTGGTGAATCACTTCTAGAAATCTTGTGATTTGAATGTGTTACACCTTACCACAAGAAACACTGTTCGAATCACAGAATCAATTAGGTTGGAAAAAACATCTGAGATCAACTCCAACCTATGACCAAACACCACCACGTCAACTAGATCATGGCACAAAGTGCCACGTCCACTCTTTGCTTAAACACCTCCAGGCACCTCTTGTGCCATCCCTGCTTGTGAGGAGGAGGGGGAAAAAGGGGTCTTAGGAGACTTGAATTTTAAGGAGAGGCTTAGAATTGACATATGTGTAAAGTTATTTTAAAAAAACAAAATTAAATTTTATTATTTTTTAACTGCTTGAAGTTGAAATCTTGATTAAAGCAGATGTGTATAATCTTACAGGCTTTTCTTACTGCTTACTGCAAGTAACTTAGAAATCAGAAAATATATTTTTTCTGTTTTTCAAATATATTTAGCAGAAGATTCTTTCTGAGATTTGTATCCTTCAGTTTCCCATGTTTATATGGGGAGAGGAGGAAGGAAATGTAAAAATACACTTTCAGAACAAGAACTGACAGGAAGGCTCATATGTAATTGTGATGGCTAAAACCTGGGCAACTCTGTTGTTAACCTGTGAGACATTCGGATTGATTTGTGATTATGTTAGGTTTCCTGTATTTGGAGTAAATTTTTGCTATGTAGTTTAGGAGATTTCATTTATGGTGATGTGTTTTCTCCCTTTTCTCTTGATTTAGGATATGATCAACTGTATTGGTGGAATAAATGTGCTGTTTCCATTGCTGGAGCAGATCGGCTTTCTGGGTGGACAGATGCCTGAGAAATCTGAGGGGGAAACTTTACCTCCAGAACTAGTAACTCCCGTAGAGGGAGACTGGGTGGTGTTCTCATCCACAAAGGCATCAGGTAGGAAAGTGCAGCTGAACTGAAATAATTTTTAAGCTTGATTTTAAAAGTCTTTTTGTGAATGACAGAAGGCTGTTTATTATGTGCTGGATTTTCCAGATCTGTATGAAGCTAAAAAGGCTCTTTCTGTTCCTAGATATCTGACATGGATACTGAATACCAGGAATTCAGCACTATGTAAAAATAATATAATATATTTCAAGTATAGCTATATTTAATAGCGTTCTTTTTTTTTTTTTTACAGCAATGTAATAGTAAATCATGAAAAGTATGCAGTTTTTTAATTTCTGTTCTGATTATTTTGAGAAATTATGTGTGATGTAAAACCTACTAATATTGATAGGAGAAGCTTTCCTACAACTTAAGTGCTGGGTCACACAGCAGCATCAGAACAGTACTATTTAGCCTTTAGCCAAATTTTTTTTCTCAGTAAAATGTTCAGGCTCCTATCTCTTCCATTTGACACAGTCCAATTTTAGTATTAAAATTAAAAGAAATTGAAAGGAAGCCTTAAGAATAGATTTTTTTTAACTTTGCTAATATTGAAACTTAACTTTGGCCTTAACAGAAACCAGGGCGATATCAGACCTTGCAAGGGAAAATAGCTTTTTTTTGTTGTTGTTGCTGTTTCAAATATGATATGGTGAAGTAAAAAAAAATAGATCTTTTTCTCTCTAATTTTTTTGCGTACCATGGCTAGAAAGTGTCAGTTTGCAACTACAGAGGGAAAATAACTTCAGCATCTGTAAAAGATTGTAACAAAGAAGTTTGTAACCTGCAGCCATGGGTGAAGCAGCTGAAATGAGTACTGGAATCAGTTTGTTCTGGAGAGGCATGGAATGACTGTGATTCTGCATGGGAAAAATCTAAAGACAGTCCACGGCTAAGGAACAAACAGAAAAAGAGTTGAGAAGTTCAGGAAATAGTGAGGAATATAAACACTTGATTTTACTGTTTCCCCTCTATTTTTATGCGGTGATCCAATGATAAACCATAAGGCTTCTGCTACCATTGTTCTGTTTTGCAGAAGCACGTCTGGAGAAGAACATAGTTGCGACTTTCATCTTGATGATAAAACACTTTATTCAGAGACATCATGTTAATCAAGAAAATCTCATTCACTCCCATGGAGTTGCCACCCTAGGTGCCTTGTTACAGAAGGTGAGAACTTGAAACATCCTTTAGTAATGAATGTCATGGATGAAGTCCTGGTTGCTTTGAAACATAGCCAGGATATGAAGGTCTTCAGAGGTTCCTTAGCAAATGCTCTTCTTTCTTGTGTTTCTGAAACAAAAAAGGTGTGAGAAGTTGGTCTTTATCTGCAAAGTGAAATCCAGTGTTTTGTCTTTTTAGCATCTTCTGCTTTTTTTGATATAGATACTGCATTTTATGGTTATTCAAACTCTACTAATTTTGTTTCTTGTATTGTTTTAATGGAAGCAGATGTTGCTGTAAAAGATAAACTTTATTTTTTTTTAAACAAAATCTTATTAGGACATTTAATATTTTGAGTGCTAACACCTGTTGTTATTTTGCAAGGTGCCAAGCATCTTAATGGATGTGAATGTACTGATGGCTGTACAGTTGTTGATAGAACAAGTATCAGTAGAAAAGAACATGCAGCTTTTGCAACAGATGTATCAACACTTACTTTTTGACTTCAGTATATGGAACAGTGGTGACTTCCCCTTCAGAATTGGTGAGCTCTTGGACTTGGGCAACTGTGCGAAGGCACAGTATTCTTCACTTGACACAAATCTTTATCTAGGTTCTAAAAGAAAACTTTATATTGTAGGACATATACAATATCTTTCTACAATCATCAAAGACAGTAGAAGACTCTTCAGAAAGAAGTATGGTGTGCAGTTTCTTCTAGACACACTCAGGATTTATTATGGGTATGTGGTTTACTACTTCTGACTCCTCCTCATTTATTGTATGTGGCTGTTATTTTTTTCCCCATCATCCTAGTAGGAATTAATAAATAAAACTGAAAGTTGGCTTTTAGTAGTTGATTTAATTTATGAAATTACATTAAATTTTTTCCCCATTTGACTTCCTACTTTTCCTTGACTTGAATTTTTGTGTTAAGATTATATAAAATTTATGTCAGTGACACTAATAGCACTTGTAAGAGTCATTAAAATTACAAAACTGTAGAACTTGTTTTCAACAATGCAAATTAATTCGTAGATTGTTGCCATTATAAAAAGGAAGGGTTCTCATTTTAAGTTCTTTTATATACTTGTAGAATTTGAAGTAGGACTTCTTTAGGAATTTTAAATTTTAGCTTTCAGTATTGATGATATATTTCTGCTTATGAATATAGTTATGTCCTTGAGGAAGATTGGCTAGAGACTCTGCTTTTTCCTTTAGAGGGGGAGAAGGGGGGAACCTGAAATCCTGACCTATGTACAAGTCACTACAAGTCTACATTTCAGGGCTTTTATGGGCTTGCTAAGTCTGATCTGCTTATTCAGTTGCTTGACTTCAGTAAAATTTGAAAACTCGTGCATGATGCTGGGGTAGATGAAAAATTACAAAACTAGCTCATTAAAATTGCTATGAATGAGTCATGAAGATCTTCCTGAGATTGCCTTTCCGGTCTGTTGGTGCATAGGAGTGGTTGTAAAGACAGTGATTTGGCTCCCGATGACCTGAGAACAATACGGACATCCCTGTACGGACTGATCAAATATTTCCTGAGCAAAGGTGGAACACATGAAGAAATACAGAGCATTGTAGGATACATAGCTGCCACCAGTGATGAGGAGCAGGTATCCAACATGGCATAAATTAAGAGTTTAAACTGTACACATTTTGGTTTTACTTCTTGGTATTTAGAAATCTTGTCTTGTGTGTTTAAAAGAATGGGGAACAAAGAAGATAAAGACCACAAGCAAAGTGTTAATTGACGTTTGGTTCTGTTTAGATATAGCTGAGGTAGGATATGCCATTAGAAAAGTTATCTAGTTTGCAAAACCAAATGAATTGAACTTTACCTGATCAGTTGTAATGTAGTTTCTGTTTTATAGACATCAACAGCTCTTGAACTTGCTTTATAGCTCTACTTACTGTTTGATAAGGTGTTCTATATAGAGATAAAATGTATTAAAAATTGTACAAATGCAGTAATATTGAGCAACAAAATTTCCATTTTATTAACCAGCAAAAGGTTAAACTTAAAAGCCAAGAAAATTTTCCTAAAACAGAGCATGAAGTCTGAATGAACTGTGGATTAATTTAGTTGTCTTCATTTTGTAGCTCTGTGGAATTTTGGATGTTCTCTTCAGCCTACTTCATTCCAGTCCAACTCCAGACCAGCTTTTTTTATTGCTTTTTGAACCAGGGAATGCTGATATTCTTTATGCTCTGTTATTGCATCAAAGATACTCTGACAGGCTTAGAGAGCTTGTGTTCAAGGTAATGAATTGAATGATACATTCTTAAATTAATCAATTGAACATAAATTTGTATTTTTCAATGGTCTGGCTGCAGAAATGGATGTAATTACAAGGGTACTAATCATCCAAGTTAAGTTTTTTCTTATCTCTTATGTTAACTAGATGGTATTGTCACAAAGGAATTAGCGTTCTCTTGAAGTAAAGTATTGAGATCTATTAAAAAAAAAAAGAGTCCATGTTGTTTGAGTTAGCCTAACTAAAAGCTGTGGACCAACATATTGTATCATACACAACTTTAAGAGGTCTGGATGTTTCTCTGTGTTTATTTTGCATTTGTGTCTATTTTTTCTCCCAGATTGTGGAAGAGATGCTGAAATGTACCAAAGTTTATGAACGTAGTAAGCACCGTATGAGACTCAGAGAAGTGGGATACTCTGGACTGGGGCTTCTTCTGAATGAATCACCAGTTCCTGTTTCCCTTATTAAAAACCTTCTTAACCAAGTTCTTTACGCAGGTATTTGGCAAGTGTTATGTCTAACTCAGTATGCTCTTGCTGCTTAGAGGCAAACGTACCTGTTTTTTGTTCAGGAAAACCAGAGCTGTTCTACTCAAAGTTCCCGTTAGTCCCAGCTAATGTTTTCTTGTTTTCTTGAAGTTTGTTCCTTTTACTGTCTGTGGATCTAGACATGACTTGAAAGGCAGTTTTTAATATTTAACTGTTACATTCTCTTGTGTGATATTGTTTATGTTATTTTTTTCTTTCTCACTACAGAAAAAATGGAATTGGATGCTTTAATAACTGTCTATTGTATTAGGCTAGGTAAAAGTCCAGGATTT